GAGCTCGGAACTTGAAAACTCTCAGCTCCCCAGGCTTCCCCCGACTCTCATCTCCCTCGCCCTGCGGAGGCTGGGGCTCTTCCCTGTCCTCCGGCCCCCTTCGCTCGGTGGGTATTTTTCCTTGTTTTCCTCTGATCCAGTCGCACCAGGGGTTGGCATTTCAGCAAGTTTTGAGATGCAGAGGTGGTATGCTTTTTTTGTTTGTTTTACTCTGAATCCCCTTATGTTTTTCTTGGTAAGGCCTTAAAAATAAATCTATATGAAAGCATTGGCTTTCCCACTCTAATCATTTCCTCTCCCAGCTAATTAGTCGGAGTAATTTGAGAGCTTTCGATTCTAAGACCCCAGGAGGAAAAGTGTCTTTTCAAAGTTTATAAAGTTGTTGCCTCTTTTCCTTGTGCAGATTTTCTGTCTCCCTGCGCCATAATAGCCCTGAATTTTAGCAAGTGTAATTGGGGGAAATGGAGTTGAATTTCAAGTGGAAATGCTTTCTTTTTCGAGTGCTAAAACCCGGCTCTTGATTCATGAGTGATTTCTAGAAAGTTTAAAAACAAAGTGAACGTGGTTTCTTTCTTTCTTCCTTTTTATTTTCCTTATACTCTCCGAAGCTCCCCAAGCCATTTTGGATGTTTAACTCGAACTTGGGAAGGTTTTAGAAGGGGCTGGGATCAGAAAATGAAATTAAAGGCAAAGAGCTTGAAAGCCTGGCAAGTTTACTGAGGAGAAATAATAGTTGTTGCGGTTGACATTACATTTTTTATAGCCAGTGACCTTTGCAAACGTATGAAGGCAGTTTGATTAGTTGTTATCTTATTTGGCCCTAGAGAGTAAAACTTTGTCATCTTAATTGCTAATTATTCTTCTGGCTGGGGGCGGGAGGACCTAGAGTGAGCTCTCCCCTTTACCCTAGTTAAAGAGTTTGGGGCTGGAATTTGAGAATTAAGTAATTAAAATAACAGCATTTGAAAACTGAGGCTTGTGTTGGGGACAGAGAGGTAGAGGCAGTGGCCCAGCGGTCTGGTTGTCCAAGGCAGGGGCGATTCCAAAATGTCTGGAGACTCCTTCGTTCAGGATGTGGGTCTATGGCCCTAGCGAGGCTGTACAGAGCCTCGGGCTGAGCTGGGAGACTTGGGCTGCAGCTGGGGTGTCTTACCTCTCTGGTGCGCAGGACTGCTTCCGGGTGTCGATGTGCCCCACTTCCAGGGTTGCTTTTGCACTTAGTGTTCAGGTTTACTTAAGTAATTAGATAGCTTCTTAGCCGAGAAGGGAGTAGGAATGGAGCAGAACTGGAATTTGAAATACTGCCACCTTCCCAGCTGCTTCGAAAACTAATCAGCGAGGCCTCTCAGGGCTCAGCTACTGAATTTTTAAAAATGGCATCAAGAATTTACCAGCCAGGATGGGGGCATTCCATTGCGATTGTGTACAGCGTGGGTTACAGAGTGGAATTCAGGAAGCTTTACCCCTCCTAGGGGAATTCCATTCCCCCTCTCCCCACCTACTGCTCCTTTGCAGCTTCAGGGTCCTGCATTTGGTGGGGTGGGGTATCCTGCGTTTGAGCTGGAGGTTTTGCCTGTGCAGGGCATGACTACGGTGCCGGTGCAGGGACTGAGAGAGTGGAGGGAAGCATTGGAGAGCCAATCTAGATAAGGGTAACTAGTAGCCCTCTGCTGTGGCCAATATTTACCCAATGCTGAGAAAAAGTCCTAATTTTTTGGTTTATTTTTATGGACTTAAGCTGGCTACCAAGTAGTTAAAAATTAGACCAGGAATGGCCTTGTAGAGCAAAATGTGCTTCTTGAAATTCTTTGCTTGCAGGCAGGCAAATCAATAATCATCATAGGTAAAACAGAAAAAATAAATGCATTTTAAAAAAACAGGGAGAAAAGATGCTGTGACAATTTTGTTATTTTACCTCTTTTTTGGGGGGGGCAGAACTCTTGAATGGGCTCTTTATTGTAACTCTCTTTTCCCAATTGAGCTCCCCACAGTGCCGTTGTATTTTTTTACAGCCTCTAACAACTCACATCAGTAACACAATTACCTCCAGATATTTATAACAAGAAATTGCTTTTCTATTTTCTCCACTTGTCCGAAAGCCTTCTTTCTGGGGAAAGGTAGGGAGGGGTTTGTGGAGGACCAGCCTCGGGGAACCCCACACTGGGTCAGGGCTTATGAAGCTAGAAGTGTCCCTCTATTCCCTTTGTGAGTTGGCGGGTTGATGGTACATTTGGTTGGAAGCTGTGTTGCTGGTTAGGGAGACTCGGTTTTGCTCCTTGGGTTCCAGGAAAGGCAGAGAATAGAAGCCATTGTTCGCCGTCTGTAGGCTTTGTTGACCACGCTCACCCCCTCCTGTTCGTACTTTTTAAAGCAGTGAGGCGAGGTAGACAGGGTGTGTCACAGTACTGTAAAAAAGGTGAAGATCTAAATGGCAAAAGAGAAGTTAATCACAATAAGTAAGGTTTGGGAGAAAAAGTTGGGCTTGTCACTTTCAAAGTCCTAGAAAGCTGGGAGATAGATGGAGAGGGGGCCATTGGGAAGCTTTCTTGGTGTGGGGAGAGGAGTGGGAGATAAAGGGGTAATCAGAGTGTTGGGTTCTGGGGTCTTGTGAAATTCCTTGAGGAAGGAGGGAGGAAGGCCCTGCAGCCATCCCAAACTGCTCCAGCCTTGCTCTTGGGCACCAGGAGTTCCAAGGTCCCCTTCCCCTGGTCTCCAAACTTCAAGTATTCCCCTCTCTTCTCATACCCCCTCAACCTCAGCTCTTGGTTTCTACTCCTTACTCCACTCTCCCTCCTCTTTCCCCCCTCCCATTTTCCTGGTTCTTGATATTTTTGCAAAGTGGGACCCCAACTTGCCAGATTCTTCAATTCTCCCAAGCCAGACCAGAGCAGCCTCTCCTAAAGGATGGAGACTTCTGTGCCAGACGCCAGCTGAAAATGTGGTTGTAATGCTGGGACTCAGAGTTTGATGGCAGTTTGACTGAGCCCTAGATGCGTGTGTTTTTCTTGAGAGTGGGGCTCAGAGAGCCTATGCACCTATGCTGTTGAACCACAGCTTGATATACCTTTCTCTCCTTCTGTTTTGTCTTAGGGGGAAGACTTTAACTAGGGGCGCGCAGATGTGTGAGGCCTTTTATTCTGAGAGTGGACAGACATCCGAGATTTCAGGCAAGTTCTGTGGTGGCTGCTCTGGGCATCAAAACCCACAAAGAGTCTAAACAAACTATTTCAGGAAGTCTCTTCACTATAGTTCAGATAGAAGAAAAAATTCAAAATTGGGGCATCAGTTCTACTGATTAAAGGGTTACTTGCTAAAGAATGTAGGGGAAACAGATTGGGGATATTCAAGTATTTTGTTTGAAGCCCCAAAGGGTAGATTTTGCATGCACTGCAGGGCAGAGCTGGTGACCCTCAGATCGCCCCAAGCGGTTGAGTGGATCAGTTCCTAAAGAACTGAGCTTCTCCAGTCCCGGCCCCACGTCCTTCTCGGTTGGGAGTTCAGGCCTACCTGAAGCAGTTGCCTGGAGATTAACTCCTATTTTCTTGCTAACAGAGCCCCATATTCAAGCCCCGTGGAATCCCGAGGCCCCCAGCCAGCGCCAGGATGCAGAACAGTAAGTGCCTCTGGTCTTTCTGGGACTTCGGGCTCGGGATGCCCGTACATGAGGGTCAGGGGAGGACGCAGAGGCTCGCGGCGCCCGTGCTGGCCGGGCTGTAGACCGACTAAGGCCGGGGGACCTGCTGCGGCTGCTCCCCGCTCTGCGCCCGGCAGCCAGAAAGGGGAGGGCGTTTGCTTTGCTGTTCTCGATACTGGAGGAGTAGGGGCTGGGCCCTTAAGAACAGCCCGCCCGAGTTTTCGAAGCTGCGGTAGAGAAACCCCATCCCCCCCAAATCCTGTAACTCACACCCCCTCCCCGCCCCTGCCCGGGCTCTGACCCCGGAGAGAGGGGCTGGGCTGAGCAGGGCGGGGCAAAGGCTTCTCCTAGTTGGCTAGGAAAAGGAGGCCCCTTTGGGCTTAGCCAAGACTGAAAGTCTCCACCATCCGGACGGGGTGGGGGCTTCCCTCCCCAAGTCACTCTCAGGGCAGCGCCTCCCCTCCCCACACCACCTACGGGCCTAGAAGGGATGGGGAGAGGAGCCCCCAGGCCTGCAGCAGGGTAGGGGTGGTAAACTCGCTGTTACAGGGTACGGGAGGGAGCACGGTTTACTGGGTCTGGGAAGGAGGTGGGGGCTGTGCCCAGGAATTGGGAAAGCCCTGCCCTGGCAACTGCAGTTGCGTGGGTCCTGATCGTCCCAGGCTCAGAGCGCCTTTGATACTTTGGCTCGCGTACCTCCCTGCTTTCCACTGCCCAGACCCCGTGGGCCCCACCCACCTTCCTCTTCTGTTGGTGGGTGCTGGTACGTGACAGGGCTAGTCTAGAGCTCGGACCTGGGAGCCTGGAGGCCCAGTGAAACCAGGCCTGGTTTGAGGTTACAGTTGAGGCAACGGCGTCAGGGCTCAACTGAACTCGGAGTGTGGAAAGGCCCAGGTCTAGCAGCCTGCCCTGCACAAACCACAAAGGCTTAAAGAGGGTCCCCAGCACCTTATCCATCTCTTCTGGAAACGCTGGTCGCCCCCTGGCGCCTCCGGGGCTGGTAGGCGCCCCGTAGCTCAGGAAGGGGCACAAAGGTGGCGAGTTTTGCGGGGGTAGTTGTGCAGAACCTGCCAGATCCCAGGGCTTGGCCGGAAGACTCCCCTTCGGCGGCTGGGCTCTCCTCTCGGAGCTCAGACTCCCCAGCCGCAGGCTCTCTCTTGGGTGGGTCCCAGCCAGGGCACGCAGCGCTGAGCGTTTGCCACTGCGGCCCGGCTGGCAGGCCCCGAGGGGCGCGGGGTCGCGGGCCGGCCTGCAGGGCTTTGTGCCGCTAGTTCCCGGGTGTGCGCGAGGCGCGGAGCATCCAAATTGACACCATATGTTTTCCTATTAGTTGCTTCGCGGTCGAGTTCTAGGCGCATAATCAGCGCCACTGGGCGAGACTGCCAGCCGTCCCTAGGGAAGGGACACAATGATTGAGGCTTAACCTCTGAAGGGGAATTTGGAGCTTTGCTTCCTCACTGCCATTTCGATGCTGGGAGTGGCGCCCTGGCCCTGGCGTCTCCTGGGCGAGCACCCGCAGGCTGTGGCTGCCGAGGTGGCGAGCACGTAGTTTTTGAAATGCATGAGGAGGGAGGTCTACATGTAAGCAGCCTCACGCGCCCGCCTTGGCATTAGCCGACTGGGGATTGCCGTGGCTATGTGTGAAGTTTGGAAAGTCTCTCTAGGTCTCTTTCTGGGACAGCCTTTCTTTTTCCGGGAAGCTCCCTGTGCCCAGAGGTTGGGCTCTGTAGCTGGAGCGGTAGATGGAAATTGGGAGGCAAGAAAGGCTATAAAGGGAATTTAGGAGAAACCGGAAGCCTGGGCCAGGCCTTGCTCTGTTGGAGAAGCGGTGTCCCCGCAATGTCCCTGCTTGCCGGAGCCCGGAGCCCAGAGCCCAGATCCCCCAAACGCCTGTCACTTCTCATCGAGTTGAGGCCCCGGCCCTCCCCCCGCTCCACCTCGGTGAGGGGCCCCCCTCAGCCCCAAGCCTTCGGCTACCCTGAAAACACTGCTCCCCTCGAAGGGTAAACGAGTGCAGTTCAATCTAGTCTGAGTGATCTACAAATAGGGACGGAAAGGGTCGTTTTATCACGGTCCTGTTTGTCGTGACGATGCAATTTCCCGGAGCGGAGCACTGTCACAAAGTGACAAGGCTGCCACAAGCGCCCCGACTGATCTTTTCAATTAGCCTTCCATGCATGATCCGGAGCGACTTCCGCCTATTTCCAGAAATTAAGCTCAAACTTGACGTGCAGCTAGTTTTATTTTAAAGACAAATGTCAGAGAGGCTCATCATATTTTCCCCCCTCTTCTATATTTGGAGCTTATTTATTGCTAAGAAGCTCTGGCTCCTGGAGTCAATTTTATCAGTAGGCTCCAAGGAGAAGAGAGGAGAGGAAGGGAGCGCCGAACAGGGAGCCACGTCTTCTCCTGGGAGGGCTGCTCTCTAGAGTCGGGGCTGCAGGTTGGAGATTTTTAAGTAGAAATTGGCAATTGGCTTTATTTGTGTGTCTGTGGTTTTTGGGGAGGGAGGCAACAAACGGGCTAACTCCCTCTCCCTATTCTCTAAGGTTGGACCAAGGGGATGAGGTTGTGAGATACAAAGATAAAGGAGGGATGGGAAACACAGTGATATGGTCTTTCCTTTTTCTTTTCTGTTTTTGATTGTTGCTAATATCTGTCCTTGGCTGAGGGGAGGGTGGAGTTCAGCGGCGGAAGTAAAGCGAGCAGTGGCGGTTGCGAACCCACTCCCGGCTCTAAGCCTTACTTGCGGTGGCTGGACTTGTCTGTCTGTGGCTGAAGTCGAGCCGGGCTCTGACTCACGTCTGCAGTGGAGGTGCGGAAACCTGGACCGGGGTTCGCCAGCCATAGATGGGCCGCTCTGGTTCTCTCCTCTCCCTTCTTCTGTTCTAACCAAACAAAACCAAACTCGTTGCTTGTGCCAGGCCTTGGCCAGATTGGACGGTGATGCAAACATTTCTGGACTTCAGCGTCCAAGGGAGCACTCAAGGGCTGTAAGATTTGTTATAACGGTTCCAACACTGCAGAGACCTTGGAGGTTCACTGTGGGATCTATAGAACCCATGGTTTGCGGTGACACTCAGAGGGGATCTTTGCGAGATTTGTAGAGCCGGTTCTTTGCGCTTTGTGGGTTTAGGGGCTGGCTGCAGTGTTTATGAAGAGGGGCAGTGGGCTCTCTGGGGTTATGGCGATACTGAGGTTCATGTGTTCTTGATCCTTGGGATGTGTCTGACTCTGTGTTGCTGCTGCAGTCCAGTGGGCAGGGGCACGGCTGTTTGGGGCTGGGCTGCCCGATGTCCCGCATGGCTGGTGGTCCCGTTGTCCTTTTTTGATCGATAGCAGGGACCTGATCGCCAAGGTTGGCACAGGTTGGCAGGGGGATGAGGATGCATTGTGGTTGTCTCCTCCTCCTCCTCCTCTTCTCCTTCTTCCTCTTCCCCTTCTTCTTCTCATTCCTCTTCTCCTTCCTGTTCTTGTTCTGTCATCTTGTTCCTTCTCCCTCTTCTTCCTCTTCATTCTGCTCTCCTCTTTTCTTTTCCCCTTTCCTCTCCCTTCCCTTTCCTCAGGTCACAGCGGAGTGAATCAGCTCGGTGGTGTCTTTGTCAACGGGCGGCCACTGCCGGACTCCACCCGGCAGAAGATTGTAGAGCTAGCTCACAGCGGGGCCCGGCCGTGCGACATTTCCCGAATTCTGCAGGTGATCCTCCCGGCGCCGCCCCACTCGCCGCCCCCGCGGCCCTCCACTCTCAACGCCCTCTCTTCATTTCTTACTGTAAACGATGCTAATTATGGACCCCCCACCCTCACCCACTCCAGTCCCTAGTCCTCCACCCACTCCCCTGCCTTCCCACTTTCCCTTCTCCTTCCACCATCCTTCCCTATCTCTTTCAACTTGGGTCAGTTACATAAGATAACTCATCTGCTTCAGAAAAATATTGTGTGTGGATATTTTTTAAAAACCTTTCTCTTTTTATTTGGTAAAGACATTTATTGTGGGAACAGTTTATGAACTGTAATGAGCTGAGTTATATAAACCTGCATAATTTCATTCTGCTCTCCCCAGCCCCTGCTTACCTCAGATTTTGAGGTATTTGTTTATTCTTCATGTTTATGAAGAATATATACATTGATTTAAAAAGGCGAATGCTATTTACTCATCCCTAACTCATATTTACTCAATTGGGCATTTTTTGAAGAAGAAGGAGTAAAAATTCAGTTTATTTTTTACCTTTGCTCTTTAAAACGTAACACCACTTTAAGCAAGGTCAGCACAAAAATCAGTTAATCTGACTTCATTTTGGTGCATCTTCAGGCAGTGTTTAAGAAAACAGTTTTTTTAAAAAAAATTTTAAATTTGTTTTTGAGTTCAAACTGTTTCAAAGTATCATCATATTTGTAGTTTTTAGGGCTACAAATGTAATTTTAAGAAAAAAGCTCTCTACAGTAAGTTCTCGTACCATTGAAGGTATATTTTTGTGTTATAGACCCATGCAGATGCAAAAGTCCAAGTGCTGGACAATCAAAACGTAAGCTTGTCATTGTTTAATGCATACTTAAACAATTTTATTTTTGTCTTGAAATTATTAATAATGTGGTTTTCTGTCCACTTCCCCTATGCAGGTGTCCAATGGATGTGTGAGTAAAATTCTGGGCAGGTATTACGAGACTGGCTCCATCAGACCCAGGGCAATCGGTGGTAGTAAACCGAGAGTAGCGACTCCAGAAGTTGTAAGCAAAATAGCCCAGTATAAGCGGGAGTGCCCGTCCATCTTTGCTTGGGAAATCCGAGACAGATTATTGTCCGAGGGGGTCTGTACCAACGATAACATACCAAGTGTAAGTTCATTGAGAACATCTGCTCTCCCTGCCCTAAGCCCCACGCTCTCTCCTCTTTACCTCCTCCCACCCTTTCTCTCCACTGTCTCTTAGTCTGTGTCTTCTCCCTGCTCCACGCTTGTCTCCTTTGTACCTGGGGAACAGAGAGGAATGCCCTGACCTTTCTTTGACTGTCTGCAAAATGGGAGTCAAGTGTGGGGAATCGTTCACTTCATTTGCATGCTGCAAAACAGAGGGCGGAGGCACCCGGGAAAGGCACTTGAATCAAGAAGGAAAATGAAAACCAGATTGTAACTTCGTCCCAATCCACCTGCCAGAACTTTCCTTCAGGTGTCACACATCCATTTCCATCCTAATATTAAACAAATATAATGAAAGAAAGCTCTACACCAAGTCTAAATTTTTTTTTGGGGGGGGGGAAGTCTTTTAAGAAAGCAAAGCAACCAGGTGAGTTAGGTCACCAGAGACACCGAGCACCTATGAAAAACCCCCTCCCCCCAGTTCTCTACCCAACTCAATTTCCATGCCCAAGGTGAGAGCTATCATTTTTTTTTTTCCATGGTGTATCTGCAAATCCACCCACTGTCCCTGGGTAGCTGGGAGCTTTTTAATAGGTTGAGCGTTGCTTTTTAAGGTGGTAGGGGAGCTGAGATGGGTGACTATGTCTTCAGGAGACACTACCATTTGTTTTGATTTTGGTTTGATTTGCAGGTGTCATCAATAAACAGAGTTCTTCGCAACCTGGCTAGCGAAAAGCAACAGATGGGCGCAGACGGCATGTATGATAAACTAAGGATGTTGAATGGGCAGACCGGAAGCTGGGGCACCCGCCCTGGTTGGTATCCGGGGACTTCGGTGCCAGGGCAACCTACGCAAGGTAAAACCCAAGCAGCCATCAACCCAGCTCTCCATATAGGCAGCCTGTTGTCTATCCCCTACTCTCTCAACCTTTTCCACCCCGGGATTCCAGCTTGGGGAATGTCCTGGGGGAGACTGCATTTGAAGGCCTGGGACACATCGACTTGCATTGTATGTAGGTGGTGTTGGTTAAACCATCTTGTTGGCCTGGGAATGTGAGGGTTGTGTATGTCCGGAGTGGTATGACGGTGGCTGGTGTGTGTGTTTGCGGGCTGAACTGTGTGCATAAGAATGAGCTGCATGGTGCACTATTCAAATTTGGCATTAGAATGCAGGGAGAGCCCCCTTGTAGAAGTGTGACAAGTTAACACACTGACAGACTGCGAGGTAAACATAATTGTATCGTTTTGCTTTTTGCTGTAATTGACAAATTATGTGACTATGAGTAGGGTGCACATGAAAGGGAGAGCAGGGAGATTCAGGGCCGAGTCAGGGATGGGGCATTGGAAGCGGTGGTCTCCCAGCCACGACCACCTCACCATCCTTGCCCCTCCCCCGTTCGCCCCTCTGGGCCCCACTTTCTCACTCTCTGTGGGTGGCGAATATGTGGAAGTGGTGGGTGAAGATACTGTGAGCAGGACAACGGAGCACCGGGAAGGCTTGAGTCTGCGAGGAGAGATGGGACCTGGAACAGCCCAGGGTCTGTGAGAAGGGCTGGAGGAAGAGGAGCCAGTAGGGAGGAGGGTCAGCTGGCTCCCCCCGCCCCCTCCACACCCCTAGGTAGCTTGGTCAAGAATAGGAAACAGTTTACTCCGAAGATTAATCGGTATTTGTTGTCCTCGTGACAAGGAGATAATATGCGGGATAATGGGACGTGGCGTCTCACTCCCGGGAGCACAACGGAGCCTGGGGGCTCCGGACCGGGGGCGGTGCACAGGACGGCTAGGAGGCTGCCGGCGCGTCCGTGCGCTCTCGGACTAGCTCCGGATGCCCGGCGCCTCCATGGAGTCGGGCGAGGGAAGGGAAAATCGGAAACAGTATGCGAAATATCTGGTACAAAGGATGCTTCTGTCACTCGCAAGAATTTGTTATGGGAACAATCCTGTCGCTCTGTAATTGCTCATTAGAGAACGTTTTGTTTCTCATTAAGGCGACATGAATAAGCGTCTAGTTGAAGGAGACAGCTGTAGAAATGTTCCACAAGAGACCTCTGGACACGATTCGGCACCAATTGCCAATTAGACATGTCAGTTTTAAGAGCAGAAAACAATATAGGACGGACACTGGGAAGATAGGGAGCAAAGCGCTCGCTTCTTGTTTCCCAGCGCGGCTGCTCGGCCGGCGGAGGCCTCCTGACTCGCGGGGCCCCGGTTCCCCTGGGCGACCCCGCCCGCGCGGCCCCGAACCCGCAGGAACTCGCCGCCTCCCGGAGGGAGCGCAGAGGACTCCTAGGCCCGCTCCCGCCTCTGGTGAGACTAGCGATTGACCCCGTCGAGTGTAGGCAACCTCATGCCTGCCTGACCTTTGAAACCGTAGGATTCCTACGTGTAGACTCTGGACACACCCAAGTGATACCCGAACTTCGCACTCACGAGCGTCCACCCCTCAGCCTCCAGCAATCTGAGGTCCTGGTGGTCCCTCCCCCACCAAGAGTCTGGCCCACTTGGTCGTAGAAGTCTTGGGGAGGGATGCAGGGGCACGGTGGCCCAGGCCTGGGAAGGCTGAGCCCAGAGCCTCCATCCCCAGCTCCCTAGGCGCTTGGGCTCCCCTGAGCTTGGGGCGCAGGAGACACCCCCCTCCCGCTTCTTGGAGTTGGGACAGAAGCCGCCGAGGGGAGCAGCTTCCACCAGAGGTGGTTACCAATTCGAGCAGATTTTAGTCCCCGTCAGCCTGAGGGCGGGAAGTGAGAGTCTAACGGGTTAGGGTCCACCGGTGATGGTTGGGCGCCTGGGCGCCAGAGGTGGCGCTAGTTCAGGAGGGGGTTTTCACTTTAACGCGCCTAGTTGCTAGAAAATTCTGGGTTAACTGACAATCACCACCACACCCCCACCCTCAAGTGAGGTTTTTGGGGGTGATTGTCAGCCCAGGCACAGGACCCTCGAAGCACATATAGCTGCGGGCATGGGGGTAGCAGGCAGCGGTGACGAGCTTCGCTTCACGTTCCGGGGAATCCTCAGGCTTTTTGGCGCTAAGAGGGGCCCCTCCCTCCCTGGCTCCCTTTCCCAGCCCGGGAAGCCTTTCTTGGGGTTTAAAGAGTCCATTACTCCAAAAGCATAAGGCGAGGTTAGGTCTCAGAGGGAGACAAATATGGTTTCCATCTGATCAACGCCATGCGGCGGTGAATAAAATCGCAACAACGTGGGGCTGACAACAACAAGAGACAACTCTATCCAGCCCCAATTCTCCAGCGATTTGGTGGTTTTAGGGATCACGGAGATACTTTTTCTTACCTCCTCCCCTCACCCCACCCCCCACCCCCCACCCCCCATAATACCCAGGACCTCTATAGGATTTAGTCAGCCTCTCTTTCAACAGATGCTACAATGTTTTGATCTGCGCTCCAGAGCTGAAAAGGTGCCGCAACCGGGTTGCTATCTTTTCTTGCTTGTTTTCCGCCTCACTGATTAAGACACTAAGAAACTAAGGAATGATTTTATTTCCCAGCGCGACTCAGTGTCTCTCTCTCCCTCTCTCTCCCTCTCCCTCTTCCTCTCTCTCCCTCTCTCTCTCTCTCTCTCTCTCTCTCTCTCTCTCTCTCTCTCTCTCAATCCTAGCCCCAGCGTCAGATGGTCCTGGGGCTGGGATAATGGGAGGCGCTTTCACTCGCCTTCTCACAGATTAGGCTGGAAGGTGAACGGCACCCATTGAAGGCCCCTGCTTTGCGCAGCTCCGAGGGGACGCCTTTTAAAGAAGATATCTTAATTGTCCACCACTTAGGTTTATCGTGGGGGTGGGGGAGTTGAGATCCAACTTCTAGTTTTATTTTGTTAAAAGCTTTAAGAGCGGAAGGCAAATCCACAAAAGGGCGGGGGGGGAAGGCACCCGTTTTAAGTGAGACCAACCGCTAAGTCACTGCCTGGCTGCAAACAGTTGCCACTTGTAAAGTGACAAACTTTCCCGATATGCTCTCCTCCTCTCCCCGCGGGGTCCAGAAGGGGTCCTGCAGCCCCGGGTTTCTTTTTGCTGGCCTCTAATTCCAATCCCCGCTTCCCACATTTTTTTTTTTTTTTTTTTTTTTTTTTTTTCAGATTTAAAATTGAGCTCTCCTGTCCCTGCTGACTTTTCTCCCTTAAATGTCAGTTCTGGAGGCAGCGCAGTGCGTGGCGGCGACTGCGTGCGTGCCTGTGTAGGCCGCGTGTAAGTTTGTGTTAGACAGAACATGGAAAATATGAATCTCCATGTTTTAAAATTAAGAAAATGTCAAAGAAGCAAATGAGAGCAGAGGATGCTATCTGCAGGGGTCTTCGGAGGCAGATCCGGGCAACTTTAATTGGCGGATCGAATGTGTCAGAAAAGGGACTGAGGTGGGGCCCCCAGGATGGCAGAGGCATGAGTGACCATAGGGAGATGGGGATTGTGTTCTTCTCAGTGTCCGCCCCCCCCCCCATGCCAGATGTGCCTAGATGCACACATTTTTGTCTGTTTTCCAAAAGCAATAACCCTCCGGCCTTTCTAGTTGGCCAAAAGGAGCTATTTGCAGTCTTCCTTCTTCACCAAACCCGAAAATAAAGCGAGAGTGGGGGTGGTCCCTTCATTTTTTCCCTTGAAAAACACTTTGAAAAGTCCCCCCCGGAAACTTGGGGCAGTAAATTAGCACAGACGCCTGTACCCCGTACACGTGAGTGGAGCCCGTCCCTCTCAGCTGAGCAGCCCTCCCTCTCCGACCCCCACCTTTCTGATGGAGTGCAAAGACCCAGAGCCCAGCTGAGGCTCAGTTACTAATATTTTCTGTCCCTCATCTTCCATTTCCTCTCTCTCCCACTCTTGTACGGCCCTCCTGCCTCTTTTTCCTCTCAGCGTTCTTTTCTGTCCTTTTTTCTTATACGTCTGGCCTCTTGTATTTTTTGAGCCCTCTTTTTTCCCTCCCTTGCCCTCCGCCCCTTCCCCCAACCCAGACCCCCAATCCTTCCCCCTTGCTTCCACCCCCACCACTGGTTTCCATCCTGTCTCCCCTCCATCTCTCCAACGTAGGAAACCGGCCCTGGTCCCCATCCACCCTCCCTGCTTTCCCCCATGCCGGGCCCTGGCCCCCCATCCACCCTCCGTGCCCCCAGCCAAGCGCCCTAAATAGCACGGAGGCGCCCGCTCTTCGGACAGTGATTAATGATAGCAGAGCAGAGGGGTTAACACACTTCACTGAAAAGTCTGTTGACTGGGCTCCTTGTAACACAATGTGGCCCGCTGCACGCCTCAAGAGAATCCTTTTGTTGTCCGCGCTCATTGTAGCCTCAAAATTCTGCCCACGAAAGTTTGCCAACGCTCCTGCCCCAGGAGTTTAATAGTTTCCCTTACTCGCAGGGCATTGTGCAGCGCTGAAAAGCAGCCCCTCGCTATTCAAGTGTTGGTGGTCATCTCAATAGATCTCCAAGGGCCCATATGGTGGCCAGTGCTGATGAATCCGCCTGTTTAAATGGGGGAGAAAGTTGGGGTTTTAAAACATTTCAAAGTTCCTGAAAAGATCCCACTAGATCCTGTCACAATTCCCTGAACTCTTTGAAGGCGCAGCCTATTGTCTCCTGGTTATAAATAATATTCCTGGCCAAGTCGATTCCCACCAAGGCGCTCCTAGGGGCCCCTCCACCGCGCTGCTCGCCAAGTTTTGAGGATGGGGGGTACTCCATGTTGGTATCACTTGGGGGCCTCAGGACCCCCGACCCAGGACCCAGCATGTAGTGGCCCTGGAGGCCCAGTCAGGGTTCAGGCAGTCTTGATTCCCTTCACACGGGCTGTGGCCTTACAGGCAAGGTGCAAGGCGGGAGCCAGCTAGCCCAAGTGCACATCTTGCCCTCCAGGCAGCAAAGGAAAACAATAAAACTTTCCCGGGTATAATGATAGAAATTACATTAAAAGTGGTGGAAATGCCCTAATTAAAAATGTACCACTTAAATGATATGCCAAAGATTCAGCTGCAGCATAGAATATTTAGTTAGTGAACTCTCTACCATTTCTTTTTTAAAATTACACGTTAAAAATTTAAAAGAAATCTTACTTTTCTCTGGTGCAACACATTACAAAGAATGGACAGTCCTTTTATCTAAATATAAAATTCCATTTTCAGCAATTATAGCCTGTTCTTGGTGATGATATAATTACAGCTGTGCTCGTAATAGGTGTCAAGGCGAAGCGCACTCATACAATAGTTGAATAAAACTGCAGAACAATGCGAGCACTTCTAAATTCACAACCTTTAAAATGAAATTGACTGTGCAGAATTCAAATAAAAACTAGATAAATATTTTTTTAAAAAGATTACAAGCTTGGTTTGGTTTCTTAATAGCATTTTCTACAAACCTATCAACATCTAATTGATTAGATGGGAATTACTGATTATAGATCAACTGAAATCTTGAATATCACTCTTCCATTTTCCCAGCACAGCCATAGGTAAAGACATTCTGTAGGGAAAGGAGTGAGGCATTTGGGGACTCAGGGTTACTTACAAAAGATCATTTTAATTGGAAACTTCAGTGCTTATTTTTTCATTCAAGAAATGCTACTTTATGTGAGTATTATAAAGTCTCATCTTGATAAAAACAAAGAAAATGGTGGTCAGGTAATTAACACCACAAATGTCTTTTATTTAAAGAAGGCTGACAGTTACCCTGGGAATGTTTTGGTGAGGCTGTCGGCATATAATGCTCTTGGAGTTTAAGACTACACCAGGTCCCTTTTGGAGGCTCCAAGTTATTCCAAATTTCTCTTACCGTCCCATTCTTTTTGTTCCAGATGGCTGCCAGCAGCAGGAAGGAGGGGGAGAGAACACCAACTCCATCAGTTCCAACGGAGAAGATTCAGATGAGGCTCAAATGCGACTTCAGCTGAAGCGGAAGCTGCAAAGAAATAGAACATCCTTTACCCAAGAGCAAATTGAGGCCCTGGAGAAAGGTGATGGAGTTTTTCAAAGTAGAGAAGCAGTAAATCAAAGTAAATGCCACATCTTCAGTACAAAGAGCTAAATTTAGCCAGGGCCCTTTGCATAAAGGACTGCAAAGGTTTTTTTTTTCCGTCTTTTTATTTTCTCTGGGCATCTCTTCTGTGTGTGTGTGTGTGTGTGTGTGTGTGTGTGTGTGTGTGTGTGTGTTCTTTTCATGTACCAGTAATTCAAAGACTTAGCATCTGGCTTATAAGAGAAACATGATGATTTGGCTATTTCAGGCCACAGAAAGGTCATTGAATGTCATTCCAAAGAAAATTTCACTTGGTACAGTCAACACTAGAAGCGTTTTAAAGGGAATTGGTTGGAGGTGATGGGAGTGGGGAGGTGGGAAACAGCTTGATCCAGTTTGGTCAACATATTTTGTGTAGTTCTGGCACAATGTGGAAAATCAACTTATTTTTTCAGAGTTTGAGAGAACCCATTATCCAGATGTGTTTGCCCGAGAAAGACTAGCAGCCAAAATAGATCTACCTGAAGCAAGAATACAGGTACCAAGGGACGGTGCAGTTTCACACTTTGTGATTCATACCATTTGCCTTTCCTAGCGACAGAGGTGCTTGTACAGAGCACTGTTTATTTATAGGAATAAAAACAGGTTCAGTCTGCTAGATACTCTGCTGCCATGGGTATGGGGAGGGCAGCAGCGGAGGTGTCGAGGTGGGGCTGGGCTCGACATAGGCACAGTGCTAACCTGTCCTATCTGATTTCCAGGTATGGTTTTCTAATCGAAGGGCCAAATGGAGAAGAGAAGAAAAACTGAGGAATCAGAGAAGACAGGCCAGCAACACACCTAGTCATATCCCTATCAGCAGTAGTTTCAGCACCAGTGTCTACCAACCAATCCCACAACCCACCACACCCGGTAATTCTAAATACTAATATACTACAAATCAGTGTGTTAAACCTGTTTGCTCTGGGCTCTGACTCTCACACTGACTACTGTCGTTTCTCTTGCTCTCAGTTTCCTCCTTCACATCTGGCTCCATGTTGGGCCGAACAGACACAGCCCTCACAAATACCTACACCGCTCTGCCGCCCATGCCCAGCTTCACCATGGCAAATAACCTGCCTATGCAAGTAAGTGTGGCCGGAGGTGGTCTGCGTAACCCCGGCCCCAGAGAAGTGAGGAGTGGGTCAGGGCCTTCGGACCTCATTGGCTATGTGTGTGGCCTTGGGAGCTTTTCACACTACAGTAATTGGCTTGACCAGTCGCCAGAGACAGTCAATCCAATCTCTTTTAAGTGATTGACTCATTGATTCATGCCTTAAAAAATAATAATAATCAAAATCTGTCCAGTTTTGTCAAGTTAACCTGCCTCTTGTACTGTTTAGCTTGATAATGTTGGTAGTGGGGCATGTTTGGGGTACCAGTAAGACAGCCAATACAATCTCTTTTAAGTGGTTGACTCATTAATTCATGCCCTAACAAAAGTAATGATAAAAATCGGTCGTTTTGTCAAGTTGATCTGCTTTTTATCATAATGTTACCTGGATAATGTTGGGTGGCGGGGCGGGGGGGGATGTTTTGGGTACCAGGGAGCCTGGTGCCAGAAAGTGGAAATAATGATGGCACATTATCAGATAGCAAGAGATTAGTATTTTCAAATTTGGGTTTATACTATGTTTGCATGCTAAATATATAATCTGTGTATGCATTTGGGGCATTACTTAGGGTATGTGTGATAAACTGATGAGAAAGAAAAAAGGATCGGAAATGGGATTCCTATTTACATGGTGAGATATAGTTAATATAATGAGGAAGCTAGTTTTTCTGTCTACATCTACAATAAGGAAAGGCGTAGCAGGTATTTGCTGGAAATTTGGTGTGTCTTTGCTGTGAATGGTGTGACAAGTATGTGGCTCTCTTACCTGCCGGGGAAGCTTGATGCTGTTCACCTGGTATGACAGCCTGCCTGTCCTCTTAGTTCTGTCCCAAATATCTATTAGCCCCTACATTTTGAGGCCTTGCACTAGGTTCACCCTTTATGATGAAAGTTGGATAAGGCAGGTGGTTTGTACTAGACCTTTGTTGATGATGGGTTCTTGATAGGAAAAACGTCTGTCTTCTGGTGGGCCTCTCCCAATGGTTTCCTAGAACTCCTGTTTGTCCAACAATTAGAGATGTTAAAGATGGTACGATAATGACCAGCGTGAGCCCCTGCTGGAAACAGCTCTGGGGCTACACAGATTGTTTATTCTCCACTGAGCATTTTTTGCTGGATTTCAAATCCAAATAACAGCAGAATAAATATTTCAGTCTTCAGACTAATATAGGAGCAGCTAGATAAGCAACTCAGAGGAATTATTCACATATTTATTTTTATTGCATCTGGATATTATTGGCCATAGTGCAATTGATGTAAATTAAGGGATTAACAGCCCATTAGTTGGTATTGCTGTAACTGCCTTGGAATTTTCCAGAAGTCAGGTTGCCTAGAGGAAGTTATTGCAGGAATTAGAAACAAATGCAAGCTGAAATTCTGGCAGGGCCCTCAAGGCCTGTTTGCCTCTTTGAACTTGATGTTAGCAGTCATCATCAGACTTTAATGAGGCCACAGAGTGTCTTGTTCAGTTTCATATATTGTAACAACATCCAGGTTTCTGTGAAGATAGCAATATGTGTATGTGAGAAAATAATAAGACCAACAGGTAGATGCTGCCATTATATCAAGATTGTTTCCACACATAGACCAGTGTGGGAATTCCATCTATCTCAAACGCTGACTTTTAAAAATTACGTAATTTATATAATTCAAAACGTACATGCATTCATTCAGCATAGAGAAAATCAAAATGATCAGTAACTTTACTCTTCAGAGAAAACTACTCTTTGAATTTTGGAGTGGGTGAGCCAGTTTGTCTATCCATTTATTCATTCTCTTGACCAAAATAGTCATTTTACAAATCATGGGTGTCTTCCTCTGGACCTTCTCTGATTTGTTTCCCTCTCTGAGAATGGTGGATCTTCGAATGTGAAACATCTCTCCAGTTTGCAGAGAAGAGAAATAATAGTATACTGTACTATCATTTAACACGCTTGTTCCTGACACACTTCTATTAACTGATCCCAAGTTTGCTGCCATCGCATAGTACCGTGAGAGCTCATAAGGGGCTTTGTTAGGAGAAAGGTTTTATCTTCTCAGTGCTGCCATTCTGAATAGTTCCAGGGTAGCAATGATTTTCTGGTTACAACTCAATCTGGGCTTTTGGGTCTGTTAGGAAGTCATGGTAATTCTCAGGATGTGGGTGGGTTACATTTACTAACTCAATCTGGGCTTTTGGGTCTATTAGGAAGTTATGATTAATTCTCAATATGGGGGTGGTTTATATTTACTAACACTTCTGATCATTTTAACTTGGGGTCATTACAGATCTGCTTCTTCAAAGAAGCTTTTATCCCAGGAATCTGGCTGTGAAAGGTTCCCAAGGTCGCTAAGCCATACTTTACTGAGAGCTCCTCCTCCCACTGCCCTCTGTCCCAAAGCTAGAGATATGGGCTTTAGGGGTCACAGGATTCCCAAATAAATCCAGATTTGCAGGGAGAGGGGATGTGTTTTGATGAAGGTCCTCATGCTATAGGTTCTCCAAAGATGCCAGCAGAGGTTAGAGACAAGAATCCTATTAATTTCTGGATAGAGGCAACCATCTAGCTGGACAGTTGTCAGAAAATACAGTGCTTTAGAAGCTTGATATATAGGCAACTTTCTTCTTGCTGGAGGCCTAATCTTAGATTGATCATATGGAATTCCAGTACTTCATGTGAAGGCATCTTTAATGATCGGATTTGTTGGCAGAGTTCTTGGGGAGGAGGGCGCCTGGGGCTGTGGCTGTATCATGTGTTTCTCAGTAACCACAGGTTTGCCTCTCTCCTCACAGCCCCCTGTCCCCAGCCAGACCTCCTCATACTCCTGCATGCTGCCCACCAGCCCTTCGGTGAATGGGCGGAGTTATGATACCTACACCCCCCCACATATGCAGACACACATGAACAGTCAGCCAATGGGCACCTCGGGCACCACTTCAACAGGTGAGCCACTGCTTTCTGCAGGCTGCACAGAGGTGGCCTGTACAGTTTCTTTTGCCAGGTGATCTCTATTCACTGGAAGTTTACCCAAACAGAATCTCCTGGCCTCGTGGGAGGGCGTGTTTAACTCTTTGCTGTCCTTGTCCCTGGGGGATGGGGATTGAAAAGGGAAATTCAGTTAAGCTAATTAGTAACTTGATACCATATAGACAAAAACCAAAATTGTTTTTCCTGAATTTGGTCACAAAAGTTGTATATGAAGACAAAGCCTGAGACTGCGTTTTCTGAGGACAGATTATTAGATAAAGCTCAGCAGGTGGCCCACTGAGCTGTAGGTGGGTGCTTGTTGAAATGCTTCTTGCCCTTGTAGTTTGTAGCTCGTGGCTCCTCTAGACCTTTCGCTGCAAATAAAAAACTGACACATTGGTTTTCCAGAGACAGTTTTATTGTAAAAAGTCCAAACATTCAAACAAATGGAGGGATTTTTTTTCTTTTCTTTTGGATGGTGGTGGAGGGGACCTGGGATCCAATAGGTGTATATTAACATGTTGTCTCGTTTCTGAAGGTGCTACTTATATTTGTAACAGTGAAGTATTTTTTAATACAATAAAATGTGTTAGAAAGTATAAAGGTTTTCTGTTTTTGTTTTTTGTAAACCTACACATTTGTATTCCATGTCTGTTTCTCAAAGGTTATATCTACATGGCTGTTTCTTTCATCCCCTTTCAGGACTCATTTCCCCCGGTGTGTCAGTTCCAGTGCAAGTTCCTGGAAGTGAACCTGATATGTCCCAATACTGGCCAAGATTACAGTAAAAAAAAATAAAAAAAGAAAGGAAATATTGTGTGAATTCAGTCAGTGACTATGTGGACACAACAGTTGAGCATTCAGGAAAGAAAGAAAAATGGCTGTTAGAGGCGCTTCAGTTCTACAACCGTGTCCTTTATTGTACCACTGGGGAATGGACTTGAAACACGGACCTTTGTATACAGAAGGCACGCTATCAGTTGGAACAAATCTTCATTTTGGTATCCAAACTTTTATTCATTTTGGTGTATTATTTGTAAATGGGCATTTGTATGTTATAATGAAAAAAAGAACAACGTAGACTGGATGGATGTTTGATCTGTGTTGGTCATGAAATTGTTTTTTTTTAAAAAAAGAAAACCATGATCAACAAGCTTTGCCACGGTTTTAAGAGTTTTATCAAGATATATCGAATACTGCTACCCATCTGTTCATAGTTTATGGACTGATGTTCCAAGTTTGTATCATTCCTTTGCATATAATGAAACCTGGAACAACATGCACTAGATTTATGTAAGAAATATTTGTTGGTTTTCCAAAGGTTGTTAACAGATGAAGTTTATGTGCAAAAAAGGGTAAGATATAAATTCAAGGAAGAAAAAAGTTGATAGCTAAAAGGTAGAGTGTGTCTTCGATATAATCCAATTTGTTTTATGTCAAAATGTAAGTATTTGTCTTCCCTAGAAATCCTCAGAATGATTTCTATAATAAAGTTAATTTCATTTATATTTGACAAGAATACTCTATAGATGTTTTATACACATTTTCATGCAATCATACGTTTCTTTTTTGGCCAGCAAAAGTTAATTGTTCTTAGATATAGTTGTATTACTGTTCACGGTCCAATCATTTTGTGCATCTAGAATTCATTCCTAATCAATTAAAAGTGCTTGCAAGAGTTTTAAACTTAAGTGTTTTGAAGTTGTTCACAACTACATATCAAAATTAACCATTGTTGATTGTACAAAAACCATGCCAAAGCCTTTGTATTTCCTTTATTATACAATTTTCTTTTTAACCTTATAGTGTGGTGTTACAAATTTTATTTCCATGTTAGATCAACACTCTAAACCAATGGTTACTTTCATACACACTCTATTTTACATCCTGATGATCTTTAAAACAATAATTCTTGTAGATATCATAAATCAAAAATGTGTTAGAAAAAAATTCCACTTAATGCTGGGTGTAGCTTTGTGCCCACTTATACCCACAACATATATACAACATTTCCTAGTTAGTCATTTAATTCAAAAGCTCAAAGTCTAGAAATAATTTTAAAATGCTACAAGCTATTAGGAGTTGTTTTTTGAATTAGGACTGGCATTTTCAATCTGGGCAGATTTCCATTGTCAGCCCATTTCAACAATGATTTCACTGAAGTATATTCAAAAGTAGATTTCTTAAAGGAGACTCTCTGAAAGCTGTTGCCTTTCTCAAATAGGCCCTGTCCCTTTTCTGTCTCCCTCCCCTTTGCACAAGAGGCATCATTTCCCATTGAACCACTACAGCTGTTCCCATTTGAATCTTGCTTTCTGTGCGGTTGTGGATGGTTGGAGGGTGGAGGGGGATGTTGCATGTCAAGGAATAATGAGCACAGACACATCAACAGACAACAACAAAGCAGACTGTGACTGGCCGGTGGGAATTAAAGGCCTTCAGTCATTGGCAGCTTAAGCCAAACATTCCCAAATCTATGAAGCAGGGCCCATTGTTGGTCAGTTGTTATTCGCAATGAAGCACAGATCTGATCATGTTTAAAGTGGAGGCACGCAGGGCAGGAGTGCTTGAGCCCAACCAAAGGATGGAAAAAAAATAAGCCTTTGTTGGGTAAAAAAGGCCTGTCTGAGACTTTTATTTGTTCTGTGCAACATATAAGTCAATATAGATAAGTTTTCCTCTGCAAACTTCAGTAAAAAGCCTGGGGCTTCTGGCAGTCTGGATTAAAATGCTTGCACATGCAGAAACCTCTGGGGACAAAGACACACTTCCACTGCATTGTACTATGCTTTAAAAAAAAAATCCCCAAAAGCAAATGATCAGAAATATAGAAATTAATGGAAGGATTAAAAAATATAACCTTCTAGTTCAATATCTACTGTTTTTCAGTTAAGGAATTACTTGTGAATAGGTAATTGAGATTCATCGCTCTGGCATGAAATATACTAATAATTTTATTCAACCAGAGTTGCTGCACATTTAGAGTCACCTTTGTAAGTTGATTGTTTTTTGTATGTGTGCATGTAGTTTTATTCAGTGCAGGCGCTGTGCAGCCTGCACTGCACAGTGGCACACTTCTTTCAGGGGAGTGCGCACGCGTATGCACTGTTGGTACAATTGCCCGTGCAGACATTTCTACCTCCTGACATTTTGCAGTCTCCATTCCCCGAGGGCCGGCCGTGTGCTGAGGGAACTGTCAGAGAACGGCTATGTGGGAGTGCGTGCCGCAGCTGCTGGCTGGCTTACTTCTTCCTTCTCACTGGCTATGATTTCTACCAGGGTCAGGCAGCCAGTTCTGGCCCACGGTTCTGTTGTGTAGAGAACAGAGACTTTGGAGACCTGGGTGTGGCACACCAGGCGTAAGAGGTGGGAATGGGAGAAAAGGAGTGACGTGGGAGCAGAGCGTCTGTATGTATGCACCTGGGCATGTATATGTGTGCTCTGAGGGTCAGGGCAAAGTGGCACATCCTGGTTTAGTCTGAAGAAGCAGTTGCTCAGCTGCAGAAGCCCCCTGGTCCAGCAGGATGGGAACGGCTGCCTTGCCTTCTGCCCACACCCTAGGGACATGAGCTGTCCTTTCGAACAGAGCTCCAGGCACTCTCTTGGGGACAGCATGGCAGGCACTGTGTGGTAGCAGTGACTGGGAGTTGGCCTTTTACTCATTGTTGAAATAATTTATTTTTGTTTATTTAACGATAGATATATTTATATATTTATCAATGGGGTATCTGCAGGGATGTTTTGACGCCATCTTCCAGGATGGAGACTATTTGTGAAGACCACAGTAGAATCACAGGACTAAAAGCCTAAAATTTTTCTTCAAACTTTGACTTGGGAAAACCAGGTGAACAGAATAAGAGCTGAATGTTTTAAGTAATAAACGTTCAAATTGTTCTAAGTAAAAAAATGCATTTTACTGCAATGAATTTCCAGAATATTTTTCCCCCAAAGCTATGCCTCCTAACCCTTAAATGGTAAACAATTGGTTTCTTGATACAGCTCACATCATTTCTTCCTACTTTTTATTATCAATAGTTTTCCTAAGATTCACTCAGTGTTATTTTCAGATTTAGCTTTGTTCTGTCAATGTCATCTTAGGATTGTGTTTATATTCCTTTTACTTATTTCTTTTTGCTCTGGGCCCTCATGTTAATAAGATTAAAAAAAAGGCATTTCTTCTCCGTATGTTTGGCTTACCAAGGCCAAATATATATTCTTCTCTTTTCCATTTTTCAAGAATAAACGTCATCTGCTTTTTTTGTTTTTCTGTTCTGACTTGGTACTGAATAACTCAACTGCTCAGTTTTAAAGTTCAAAGTGTAAGTATTTAGTACTGCTTATTTCAATAATGTCGATGGTGACTATCTTTGGAAAGCAGTAACATGCTGTCTTAGAAATGACATTAATAACGGGCTTAAACAAATGAAGAGGGTTCCTCTCCACTCTCCTTTTTTATGTGTATGTGTGTCTGATCTGTTAAAATTAAAAGATGGACAGGGAATTGATTGCAGAGTGTCGCTTCCTTCTGAAGTAGTTTTATTTTGTCTACTGTTATTTAAGGATCCTGGAGGTGGACATAAGGAATAAATGAAAGAGAAAAGTAGATATTGTCTAGTGGCTACTAAAAGGAAATTCAAAAGGTTTTAGAACCCTAGCACCTGAGCAAATTGCAGTCGTCAAAATATTTACCTCATGTTAAAGAAAGGCAAATCTAGTGTAAGAAATGAATACCATATAGGGTTTTGAAGTTCATATACTAGAAACACTTAAAAGATATAATTTCAGATACTATATTTGGCATTGTTCTTAAGCTTTTATATCTTTAAGTTGATAATGTAAACAAATCTATTTTAATAGAGGGTATATTTCATAATGTATCAAAATGGTGTCTATACCTACAGTAGCATTACCGAAGAATGATATGTTTATGTAGTAAGTTATTAACATAATGAGTAACAAATAATGTTTCCAGAAGAAAGGAAAACACATTTTCAGAGTGGGTTTCTATCAGAGGAAGACAAAAATATACAGCCCTCTCTAGTAGCTTATTTTTACAAAGCCTGCCCAGTAAATTAGAAAAACAAAGCACTTGGATATGATTTTTGGAAAGCCCAGGTACTCTTATTATTCAAAATGCACTTTTACTGAGTTTAAGAAGTTTCTTTTATATTTAAAATGAGGGTTCAAATATGCACATTCAATTTTTATAGTATTTATCTATTTGCAAAGCATAGATTAACTAGTAATTAGCTGTTAATTTTATAGACATGGTAGCTAGAGAAGTAAATCAATGACCTATTAAGTATTTTGACAAGCAATTTACATATCTGATGACCTCACATCTCCTTTTCAGAGAGTCAAATGCTATGAAATTGTTCCATTGTGTGTTTGTATAAAATGAATCAACACGGTAAGAAAAAGGTTAGAGTTATTAAAATAATAACCTGACTAAAATACTCATTTGAATTTATTCAGAATGTTCATAATGCTTTCAAAGGACATAGCAGAGCTTTTGTGGAGTATCCGCACAACATTATTTATTATCTATGGACTAAATCAATTTTTTGAAGTTGCTTTAAAATTTAAAAGCAACTTTGCTTAATATAAAAGCCCTTTAATTTTAACTGACAGATCAATTCTGAAACTTTATTTTGAAAAGAAAATGGGGAAGAATTTGTCTTTAGAATTAAAAGAAATGAAAAAAATAAACCAGACGTTCTAAAAAAATAGAATAAGAAACCTGATTTTTAGTACTAATGAAATAGCGGGTGACAAAATAGTTGTCTTTTTGATTTTGATCACAAAAAATAAACTGGTAGTGACAGGATATGATGGAGAGATTTGACATCCTGGCAAATCACTGTCATTGATTCAATTATTCTAATTCTGAATAAAAGCTGTATACAGTATGTGTTTATGCTACAGTGGGTTTTTTTAAGTGACTGACATTCATCATATTGGTTAGACAGTTTTAAAAACCTAGTCTTTGTTTTCTACAATGTTGTCAAGAACAAATAAAGTGTAATTTGTGGTATATTAAAAGCAAGCTGCTTAAAAATGCTCGTTATAACTGCTTCAAAATATTCTAATATATTTGAAAATGTATTTTGGGAATTCAGTTTCTCCCAATGGATGTTGAACACCTTTTTAAAAATCAAGACTCTTAAATATGCAAGTTACTTTTTAACTTTCCTTTTTATTATCTGTCAAAAGCTTTGAGAATATGGAATTATAATTAAAACACCTAGTGTTTTATATGAAAACTGGTTCAGTAGGCTATCCACCCCCTCGCAAAGATATGTTTATATGGTTAGAAATTTACACATCCAACCAATGTTCATGATTAGCAAAAGGTTTATGTGATGCAATGGAAATCTGAGTTAGTTTCATTTTTCCACTTTGTCTCAGACCTATGTCCTGTAAAATCTCTCATGGAGCTTCAGTATATGTTTTTTCCCCTGGTATCCTAGCATAAATGTAGCTGTCAGTTTGAATTTCAATCCTGAATGATGCCTGTTG